TTAAATGCATGCATATGTTCCCTGCAGAATTCAGCATGCATCTGCGACTTCTTCTTCTCACATTAGGCACACAAATCAAGGGAAAAAATACCCAAATCTGACGAACAGCATGTCCCTAGGATGGTGATTTTTATCCCTTTTTTTCCCCCTGCTGGAACAGCAAACAGGGCTTTTTTGTAACAATTCATTCAACAGCATTTTCTTCGCTTCCATTTTAAAAACTGTTTATCACCGTCGTGTAAATATAGTACAAATTACTCCATAAACCATGGAAAAGGAGAACAGCAGCCGGGCAAGCCTGCAGCTGGCTGGCAAGGTTTCAAAGACGAGTTTTTTTTTCTCTGGGGCACCCATGGAGAAGCAGGATCATCTCGGCTCGTCTACTGGGGACCATGGCCCTCCCCAAGCCCCCACTGAAGAAGCTGACCACCAGCGTTTCAAGCCCTTGGCTCACACGTCCCTTTCAAGAGCTGGCAAGCTTCAACCTCAGGCACACAAGTACGTGCAAAGGGGAAAAAAGGGCCAGGAGATAAAATATCTTAAAAATATATTTTCCATGGCATTGTTCTGGAGGGGCAGGGGTTGGAGAGCATGACCCTGTCCATAGTGGGCTGATGGGAGAGGCCGTGCAGAACAGCGTGCTGCCCAAGGACCCCGCTGCCCATACAAACGAAGCTGCCACAGGACGGTAATTAAGAATGAGGTCATGCATGCTGGCCCCTGGCTGCCCATGGGGACACCCAGAGCTCGTTAGGAGCTTCATCAGGATGCTGGGGACAGGCATGGGTGCAGATGCACAGAGATGCTCTGTGCTGCCAGGTACCACATACCACCAAGCCTTGGAGCCCCGCTCCCGCAGTCAAGCCACCAAAGGCCTTCCCATGTCAGCTCTTTGGGCTTTTGTCCCACAGTGCATCCTGGTGAAACACCAAAAGGATGAGTCCTGCCCCAAAACACGTACAATGGAGCAGCTGAGAGGCAGCAGAGCTTTGGTCCCCACCAAGGTGATGCTGAAGGATAGCAAGGTTGTTTCAAAGATGCCTCCACCTCCCAAAGGGTAATAGTACTGTGCAAAGGCCTCTGTAATGCCAAGGTTAGTGTCACAGATGGACAGATGTGGCAGCATTTCCACTCCGTGGGACACTCCACCGAGTGGGGACAGGCTAGACAAGGCTTTGGAGATAGGAGAGAAAGAGGGAAAGTCATTTGCAGTTGATGGGAAATGAGTATCACTCCATAGCAAAAGCGTCCTTTCCTCCTGGAACACTTTCGTTTGTTTTAAAGCCCCAAATACCTACACTCAAATGCTCCAGCCCTAAAGTAGGGAGGAGTAGCTGGCACCATCAAGCTGAGAGAGAAGACAAAAAGAGGTCAGGCATAGGCTCCCCTAGTCTCCTTTGAGTAGAAGCTGCAACAGATGCGTCTCCTCCACTTTCAGCCAACCCCCTCCTGCTCCCTGTATTCCCCCATCTTGCAGCTGTTGCTTTGCCAGTTCACAGCTTTCACTTCCCCTGGGCCAGATGGATTTAACACCAAAGGCCGTCGGCGAAGCCAGTGTGGGACAGGCACAGCACACCACCCACGCCGGCTGCCAGCCCTCCACAGAGCTGGTGTTCTCCATCCACCGGGCCGTTTTGCCAGTGATGCTGGCCCAGAGTGCTGGACAAGTGGTGGCTCTGCCACTTGGCATGGCACAGGGATTCATGCCCATCTTTTTAAATTCAGTTTCACTTCACAGGTCCACTCATTAATTTTGCAAGTGCCCGCATCACTCATTTTACACCCACTGGTGAGATGAGGCCAAGCCCTGCGGAAAACACGTGGTCCTTTCCCTGCCAGCCAGCTCACAGCCGCTCTCTTTGGATGAAAGATGGTGAAAACATTTACAACCTTGCTAGTCTGTCTTAAGCAGCCAACAGGAGAGTGATAATTAAAGAGAGAAAGTCTGGCAATGCTATTTTGGACAGGTGAGGAGGACCCATGGACCCAGCTTAGCTCCCAGCCCTGCCCATACCTGAGGTCTTCTTCTGGACCTCAGGTGACCCAGGTCCAAACAAAGGCCCAGTGAGCAACTCCCTCTTGTAAAGCTTTTTACGAAAAAGTGTCATTTCCTGGCTAAATACCATGAAGGAGGTTTTGACACCCCCCAGCATTTCTGTTGGCTGTCCCACCTTGATGCTGGTGTAGAGCAGGGAGCACACACCATTCCTGAACTGGGGTCAATGGCTGCATTCCTTATCAGAGACACATTATTTAAAACCATCAAGAAATAAGCTGTGGTTACACGTTGACTAACGCCTCTGAGACGCAGCAGCCTTCATTCTGCCTTGCAAGCACCGCTTCTCTCGTCATTCTGCATTTTCTTACCTCAAGCTCTTTGATACGCCCTACACCGAGCATCAGACATGACTTCGCCCAGGCAGTACACAGCGGTGATTACTTCCCTGCTGTTGTATGCAATACCCTATAGATTACCTGTCCCCTTTTCCAGGGGGATCACCCACAGGCTCACGGCTCAGGCTGCCCATCGGCATCCATCCCCATCCTGCAACGCTCCCACCAGCAGCCCCTGCTTTATACCCAGACCTGATCCTTGCCTAGTTTGAACCTGATTTTTCCCCTCATTCCTCTAACTTTCCTTAGCTGAATACCATCCAAGAGAAATTACCTTTTTGCTTGCTACCCCCTGCAGATGCAATAAATATGCTCTCCACACCTACCTGCGGGTCATTTGGAGGTAATAAATTAGAATAACCAAGCTCTCAAAGCAATTATTTCAGAGCTCCTTCACTCGGCCCTTGTCAGTGATTTCTCCGAGTTTACAATCCAAGCTGGGAGAGGATGACCAGAAGGAAAAATGCAAGCTAAAACCACACGTATCGGTGCATCTCCAAGAGAAATCACTCCAGACACACTCCAGCAGTCGCACAGTATCAAGAATTAACTTTATTAGCAACAGTACCAGATAGGTAAGTTCTCTTTCAAGAGGTAATTGGTCTGTGACATGAGGGGGAGGATCAGCAGAGGTGCAAAGCAGTCAGCAGACAAGCAGAATCTCATTGTACCTGGGACCGGGGGAAAATGTATGAGTCAAGGAGAGCAGACCAGGCAGTAAGCTCTCAAGTGGAAAGGACTGAAAGCCACAAAGGGACGTTTCAGTTGCCAACATGAGGTTGGCTTGGGCTTTTCAGCCATGACCAACTACCACATTACTCCAACCTATGGAGGCGATGGGAATGCTTATTCCCATGAGCAGCACCCGGCCAGCCAGCCAGCATTGCTACCCTCAGCTCCTGGGGTTCAACCCCTCCAGCTGAGGTGGACCTTCACCGGGGTCAATGCTGGCCAAAGCAGCCCCTGACCAAGTGTCAGGGGCTGTATGGCTGCAAACCTACTGAAGTGACAGGATTGAGACCCTGCACATGCAAACTCACGTGCCATAAACCAGCTCCTCGGTACCACGCACCCTGTAAATTTTCCCACTCACGTCTGGATTTTATGTTTAAATAAAAATTGGCCATAAAGCAAAAACTGTGAGTGCATTGCCAACGAACCCAAATGAAACACCAGAAAGCGTTTATATAAGAAACCAACACCCACCAAGCTTACATGTCACCTCGTGGCAATAACCACCCTCAATCCTGCCATTCTTCCAGCAAAGCCAGGGCGGCTGCCGGGGGGATGGCATCAGCCCTGCATCCTCCCTCTCGCTGACCATATCCAGCTCAGCAAGGAGATGGCCTGGCAACCCAGACCAGCAACTTCACTCGAGCTGGAGATGCTGAAAGAGCATCTACTAATGACCCACTCTTAAAGGAAGTGTTTTCCATAGACAGCATCCCTGAGGCATCAGCTGTAATGCCCAGTTATGCCATTACACCCTCACTTACCAGTTCACCTCTCCTAGACTATAAATCCACTCAATCTGAGTAAATAAATACAATAATTGTATTTGGTCCAGGCTGTATGTGCATGTGGAAGTTGAAGTGACTTTAAAAGCTGGTCCCTTTTGAGTGGCCCATCTTTTTGGGTGTCACAGTAGCTCACCCCCTCTGAAAGCATCTGGAGACCATATGCTGCCTGACTATTTAAATTAATCAGCTTTCTGCTGTGAACATCACATCAGAGCCTCCCTAATAGCTCTCCCTGGCTTTTACAGACCTTTCTAAACGCAGACTAAAGGCACTTGAAAAAACCCCTTAGGTTAGGATCACTTAGTGTTTCACCTGCAGATAGGTAAGTGGGTGTCCACAACCATCATACCACAGTCACGGCAGGAGAAATGGTCTCAAGTTGGCCACGACATACAGCCCTGGCACTGGCAGCACCACGCTGGGGGCTGGACGATCCCTCAGTTCAATCTTACTTGGAAAAAATAAAGCAAGCAGAAGTCCAAGTGGAGAAGTTTCCCTTATATATGTTTTTTCATGGAATTAATGGATTAAATCCCTCCCGAAATGGTGCCCTGCTCCCTGGCACGGCTGCTATCTGCTCCTGAAGCTTGCTGAAAGCTGCTCCAGGGCTGAAACCTTCTTAAGCGAACATCATCATCACAGCTTAATGAAGGAGGATCTCCTCAAGACCATCAAAACACTGCAGGGCTAAACTTGTACCAATGAGGCAGCAAAACCCAAGGTGCCGTCAAAAGCCCTGGTTTCAGCTGAAAACCAGTGTGGTGGCACCAGGAGGCCATCCTTGCTCACCAGCACTGGGGTGAGGGACTGGTTTCCCTGTGCCCCCAGTGCATCCCTGGGGAGGATGAGGCTTTTTTGGTCCATTTTCTCCTATCGAGCCAGGAGTGATAAAGGTCCAAGAGGACCTCCCAAGCATGTGGGACACCCCTTCCCAGAAGGAGGACTGTCCCCCTGGATGTACCCTCCACCTTCCAAGACAGGCAGCCTTCCCTAAAACCACAGCGTGCCTGGATTTTGGGGGAAAAAAACCCTAAATACCTGACAGCAGCACTGCAAACTGAGGGCAGCCCCCCCCCAGCTGCTCCTCTACATGAGGTGGACAACGAGAACTGAGCAGGCAGACCCCACAGCCAGCCCCAGCATGAGGTAAAACGTCATCACCACCCCTGCCGCCTCGGCCAGCTCTTTCGGCACGATCTTGGGGCCGTAGACGATGACCAGTGTCCCCAAGTACCCATTGCTCAGCCCCAGCAGAGCTGTGAAGACCACCGGGTAGATGTCTTGGTTGAAGACCACCATCTGGATGTGAGCCCGGGGTTGGTAGTTGCTGAGGATGAAGAGAGGGAGGAAGATGGTCCTGAGGAGGACGAGGACAGGCAGGAGCTTGCTCTTGGGGCCGGGTGCCTGGATCCAGGCGGTGATCTGCCTCCCGCACCAGTCGGCAAAGTTGTACAGGAGGAAACTGGTGAGCGGTGCAAAGTACTTGGTGCTCCACTGGCTTCCCGAGGACTTGCTGACCGACTCAATGTTGGAGGAGAGAGAAGGGAAAATGATGATGGAGATGAAGAAGACGTAGAAGAGGCAGAAGCCAAGGAGGGCGGTCTTCTGCAGGATGGGGCGGAGTGGGGGGACACCGGTGTTTCTTGTGAGGAAGAGGGTATTTGTGGTTTCTCCTGGCTCTGCTTCGTCCTCCGCAGAGCTGTCAGGCGGCACAGCGGCCAGAGATGGGCTTTCCTTCTGGCTGCTCATGTAGTACCTGCAAAAAGAGAAGGAGGGAGATTATCAGCCAAATGCACCGGGGGGAAACACAAACTGCAATTTGGAGAGAGAGCAGGAGAGAAGTTGGTGATGCAGGGATACCCACTGTGGTTGTAGCGACCCCACACACCTCCAGCTCCCACCTCATATGGAAAGGTGATCCTCAGGGACCAACTACCTCCTCTTCCCCAACACGGCATCCCTTCACACCCTCAGTAGTTCTCAGAGGACACCTACTGCATGCAGGTCTTTAGGGTGGTTTCCAGGGCTGCAAGCACCAACAAGACCAATGGGTCATGCACATCAGGGCATGATGTGCAGATATGGATGTCCTATGGGGACCCAGCTGGCCGGCTGCTTCCAGATTACGGTTGTCCACTGACTTCACACATTTCAGATGCCCTGGCGTCAGCACCCTTCTTCCCCCGGGGACACTTGCCAGAAACTCAGCCCGCGCCGGGGCGGGTGCCCAGTTTCAGTCTGTGGTTTCGGTCAAATGGGGAAGCGTAGCTGGTGACAGCACAGCACCAGAGCATGTGGGGTGGGATGCTGGGGGGTGACGGGGCAGGGACTGGAACAGCAAGCACCCCATGGGTCCCCCCACCAATCCTGCTCGGCACTGACAGCCACAAACCCTCCCAAGCCACGGCTGTTGGATGCCCAGGGCAGGCTGGTGCACACACCTGGAGTACTCCAGCCTGGGAAGGAGGAGGTACACCATGATGCAGATGACGATGAAGATGTCGGCGGTGAGGAAGTAGGCCAGGGCACTGTCTGTCACATCGGCTGCTGCCGCCAGGTCTATCAGGGAGGCGATGGCGCTGATTGTGCCACCCATGGCCTGACCTGTGCAGGGGACCAGAAAGCTGGAGCTCAATGCCCAGGTCTGAGCCAGCCTGACCAATGGGCACAGGTGAGGGACATCGAAGTGGCAGAGAGCAACCCACAGCACCTCCAGTGAGGAGGACTTCGATGCACCAGCAACCAGGAACCCAGCAACAGAAACTTCTTCTTAACACCTCCTGGGATGCACAAACTCCTCAGAGGAAGCAGCTCAGCCCCCTGCCCCACACGCTGATCCCCAAACCCAGCTCAGGGTGCAGCTGCACACACCACCTCATCTCTCTTTCCACACCTCGCTGCAACACAGCTCTCTGTAGGGCTGCATCACTGCCCAGGTCCCGTCCTGCATCCCAGCACAGCTGCAGCACTGCACAAGGGTCAGGATGGGACCCGACCTGCTGGGCTTGCCTGTGCTGAGTCCTGCAGAGAAGGTCCAAACCCTGCCAAAGCCTAAACCTGGCTTTCCACCGGCACACATATAACCACCTCTCTTCTGCACTCCCCGAGATGGGAATTCAAGCCACCAGGAACAGGTATGCCATCTCGGGATGCGTTGATTTCCCCCACCGGGCTAAACTCATTAAAACACTCAGCCCCAGGAAAAATTTCTCCATCTTGATTTTTTCCTCTTCCCCTCTCGGTTTGTCAGCCGTTCCACAGCACAATTCTAACTTAATCAAACCTCCAGGGAGCTCATCACTCACCGCTCCCAATGTGCCCCTAATCACTCATGGAAATGCATGGACATGCTCAAAAGAAAGGAGAAGACAACACAAAGTTGAAGATTCCTCCAGATGTAGAGGAGCTGAGGGACAGTTCTCATTCCCCTGTGCTCCCTGCACAGAACAAATAACCAGGTCAAGCTGTCACGCTGGCTGGAGCTGCTGTGCAGGGTGTTTAGCGCCTGGGCAGGGAGGGTGAAGGACCACTGCTCTCCTCATCTCTGCTGAGCCCTTGGCACTTTGGTTTAGGGGTATTTACAGAAACGAGAGTGCTGGTTCATGTGACTGAGCATGTTTCTCCTTCAGCAACTTCCCTTTATTTTTAAGGCAAAGTTAAGTTTCTAAAACAAACCCCATGTGACGAAACGCCAGACGCAGGAGGGAAAGAACACCAACCACCCAACCACAGAAAACCCAAGAGCACAATCCCACCAGGACAGCACAGCGGGGGGACACCAACCAGAGATCAACGCTTGCAAGTTCCTCATGGGGAAGCAGCTGCTCAGACCAAAGATGCTGCTGGTGAAGACGGTCGAGGCGCTGCTGACAACAACCACACAGATGATGGTGAGGGCGAAGAAGTGGGTGGTCCAGGTGGAGGTGTCGACCTTTACCAGCATCGTGATCACCAGGAAGACAGCCAGCATGATGAAGAGGGAGGACAGGATCCGGACGCTGGCGGGCACCCTGGGGACAGGGGAAGGAGAACGTCCTGCATTTAAAACTATAATGTGAAGACACAGTGCAGAGGACACCCACTCCTCTGCTGTGAGAAGGATCAAAGTGGCAGGGGGGTTGGAACTAGATGATCTTTAAGGTCCCTTCCAACCTGAACCATTCTATGATTCTGTGATTCTAAAGAAAGGTGGGGGAAGTTAAGGTATAAAAAGTAATGATTTTTCTCAAAAAGCCTTTAGATGTTAGCTCTGCAATTTTCACTTATGCCATCGATACAACCACGCCTACCAGCCCAACCAAGCTGTAAATACCCATTTCTCCCCAAAATCAGGAGCTATGCCCATCACTGGAGCCACATACAGCAGCAGCAACAAGGCCTGCCTGGGAAACACAGCAGGCTGGGTGACAGAATCCTGGGCACATCACAACCAGGCAATTAGTTGTTTGAACATGGAGGTTGGTTATTACTGAGCCAGAGACTGGTCGGGGCAGGGCAGAGGGAGAGAGGTGGGGAGCCGGACTGGCAGTCCCAATCTAGAGATTAAGCACCAACACATTCCTCTTTGCCTGCAAACATGCAGGAGTTTGATCTGGGATAAGGAACGGTAAAAATAAGGGGAGGCAGCTAGTCAAGATTTAAGTCAAGCTTGGCAAGGCACAGATGGTCCATTTCTTAACCCAGTTCAGCAGCTGGTAGGACCAGAGCAAGGTGTTACTCCTGCCTGGATGAGCCCAGCCAGTCCCCTGCTGACAATGATGGCATTTTTAAGAGGAAAGACCATTTGCCAAGCAAATAATCAAGGAATTTAATAAGCATTTATTTACAGTGATGCAACTGAAGCCAACTCCAGGCATGGGTGCTGCTGGCAGGGAAGATGAGGGGATTTTGGCCGCCCAGGGGGGTTGCACTCATCATGCCCCGTGTGCCCCGTGGCTTCCCTGCAAGGGATGGGGAGGCTAAGCTGGGAATCAAGGCTGAAGCTGGAGAAAGGCAGGAGGGACGCCAGCAAGGGTGGGGAGAGCTGCAGCTAATGGACCTGGGAATGGAGCAGCACTTACTTGTTGATGAGCAAGAAGTTTCCAACCAGGCACAGCACCGAGGGCACAGTGGAAGCAATGGAGATGTAACTCTCAAAAAAGTCCTGTCAGGAAAAAAAAAAAAAAAAAAAAAGGGCAAAAAACTGTCAGGGGGAATAACACATGAATTTCAGGTCCCAAGTATAACACAAGACAGAACACGTGGGCAGTTATGATATAGATGTCCACCTCATTGCATTGTAGGATGTGCTGCAATCAGGACAACAGTCAATGGGAACGGCGCCCCGGGGCTTTTTCATCCTGCAACAGCCCTGGGACATTTCAGGAAACTATGGATATAACAAATTCAGAAGCAAAAATGGTGAAGGAAATACCTGCCTCACTGGCCCCGTGGGGCAGCACCTGACATACGGAGGTCCAAATTTCTCCTGCTGGCTCCAGCATCCTGTGCAAACCCCCTGAACACTTCATCCTACTTGAGCTCTGTGAAAGCTGCTTTTTATAAATCAGAACACAAAAGCATTAATAATATTAGCTAACTGAAAAGCCTGTGATGGCTAGCAAACCCATGCATTCCTCTCCACACAGAGCGACCAGGACCCACACCTGAGACCATGCTCAAGCAAAAGCAGCCCGAATGGGGATACAGGGACATTATTTTCCCTCTCAGTCTCCTTCCCTGCACGCACAAAACTCATTGAGAAACTATATTGAGGCTCAACACACATTTACTCCGGGGACTCGTATATCATCCGAGCAAGTCAGCCGCCGCATCAGTCAATATTCACCAGCCCACCTCGCACAGAGGTCAGGCTGTGCAGGCAGACAGCAATAACCACAGCAGAGAAAGAGAGATTTCTTTGCCAAGATTGCAGCCAAACACTTACATTTTCAATCCATTTTATGTATTACGCTGTGAAAGCCTGTCTGCTCCATCTCCTCCCCTCAAGGTGCTTAATCCTCTGTTTTTTTCTGCAGGAATCTCAGTCAGCAGGTAGGATGATGCTCGTAAAGAGGATGACCTACATATCCACTTCCATCACCATGGGCTTTCATCTTCTGCAGTTATCTACCTACAGAGACAGAGCCACGTTGCGTCCCGGCGCGAGAAGGCACTTGGCCCATCTCCACACGTTCCTTTTTTTGGTTTTTTTTTCAGCTTTGCACCGTAGTTTTTTAATCAGTTTACAAGCATGTTCATTTAATCTTCCCTATGAGGAGCTTTACTGTAAGCAACAGGAAATCTAATAATCAATCCTAGAGGGTCCATATAGACGGAGACATAAATGCCTGCACTTAGGGCATCGGCTTGACGAAGCAGGAGGCTCAAAGCTCTACGGCTGTACAATGAATTATAGGAGAAAAGACAAAGCAAAATGCAAATCTGGCTGCTAGAACTAAGACTTATTTACCAACCTACTTAGGAAAAAAAAACAAACCAACAAACCAGCCTGTGGCTGTTTAATATACTTCCAAGTTAATTTTCTTCTGGGGAGGAAAAAAGACTTTATAATGCTTTTCCACCAAGCAGAAGTGTACTTGAAGTAATCCACCAGAGATGCTGCGTTTTGAGCACCCTGGAGAAATGTTAATTCATTCCCAACAAACATGCTCACACCAGTGGTGGGAAGAGAATTGGGGAAGTATTTAAGAAACTGAGGAGCCTGCACTGCACTGGGAAATTTTACCCTGCCTTACCCACAGCCAAAGTCTGCTGGAAAAGAAAAGCCAAGTAGAAGGGTTTCAATTGCTGCTGTTTTTATGGAAAAGTCACATTTTGAATGCAGCAGCAGAATGGCGGGTGGCAAATTTAATCCGTGCCCGGACGAATGGCAAGTATCAGGCTCCATACTCATCTCACCTCTTCACCCCTGCTCATGAGGCATTCATCCAGCTCAGATGGTAACTCTTCTCCCTGCGTGGGTATTCCCACCCACCGCAGACATGCTTTCAGAGAAAAGTTTTGGCTATGCAAGATATACCTAGTTCTTCTCCCTTTCTGTTGAGCCTTCCCTGACTGGTTGCCACATCTCCCTCTGGGCATCCCTTGCTCAGGAGGGCCGAGCTCCCTATTGCCGACATGGTTTTAGAGGAGAAACACAAGCACTGAAAGACTGTCATCCCTTTCCTGGCTAATAATAAATAATAATTATAATAATCCTCAAAGCAAAGCCGCCTTCCTCCCACCTCCGTCTCTCATGGGGGAAGGTGTCATCCCTCAGCCATGGAGCCGAGGCATCCAGTGGAGGTGGTTGTCCCTATATTAACTACACCTTCTTCAAAAAACGCTGCCACGATGCACACCATGCACTCGGTACCTTAAAAAAACACCCCAAACAAGAACAAAATATCACGGTGGTGAATTAGTCACCAGTGTCTGCTGGTGCCGCCAACATGCTTTTGCAAAGTAGTTTTTATTCTGCTCCAGCCTGGACTTGGCAGCTGGGCTCTGGCCGGACTGGAAAAGCAATCCAGGCCCATGGTAGTGGCTGAAGGCACCGGAGCGTTACCTGGAGCATGGAGCATGAAATTAGCAGCGACGAGCAGGCTGGAGCCAAGAGCCGGCTGCAAGTCACAGGCGTATCTTTCCGGAGTCCAGCTCTGTTTGCAGGTAAGCCCTCCCACCACAGTGCCATGGCTCACCATCCCAAGGCAGAAATGGCACTGACTGGTTTATTTTTGATCAGACTCAACCACCATGGAAAGGCCAGGTTGCTTTTCACTGGAGGAAGTAAAAAGCACTGCGCCACAACCATGCAGAATGAGGGAAAACATCTTTTCAATAAAGTAATGGCTGATCTGACCAGGAACACAGCTGTGCAAGAGTTTTTAGGATGAAGACACCTAGTGATGCTTGCTCTGCTTGAAAACAGCTTTTGGAAGAATTGCCTTGGATAAGTCTGACGCAGAAGCTGCAAGGTTGGAGGGAACACAGGATATCATGCCACGTGGTGACGGAGCACCCTCGCTAGCACCGGGTAGCCTGTTTTTGGTCTTCAAGCACCATGGGGGCTTGGTCCCCATCAGTTTAATTCACCCAGTATCTCGATTTACACCAGCACATCAGTACTTCAGCATCCTGGTACAAGCAGCATCGGTGACATTCTGCTTCCTCTCCATCAAAAACGCAGCAGGTTTAACAGCCTTTAAAATGAACACAGCCGAGGATGCTGTAACGGTGTGAGAAGTCACAGAGAAAATGTGGGCGTCACACCCAGCTCTGTGTTTATATAGAAATAAAATGTGCCCAAACCACTCGAACAAGCTCGGCAACAGCAGGAGGATAGGACAGAGCCTCACTACACCCACGCTTTTTCCAGCCACAAAGAAATGGCATCACTTTGTCAGGGGACACAGGGATATAATCTTGCCTTGGCATGAGGAGCAAGAAAAGGTGGCTTTTTTTTGGGGAGAAAGAGAGGCCATCAAGCTTGCCACCCCAAGGCCGGCTCATCAATCGCCCTGTCACAAGCTCCTTGTCCCATATGGCAAAAGCCAGATGTTTATTGCTGCAAGAAGATACTCTGGTCACACCTGCCAGATCTTGAAGGAAAAGCAGGAAAACATCCCGGGGGGCTCGAGACTATCACAAGCCACAGGCTCCAGGGCTGGTGCTCCCACGAAGCCCTGCTGCCACCTCCAAATGACGAGCTGCACCAGCCAGGGTGAGGGAGAAAATGCCTAAAATGTGTTGAATGCCTTGTCACAGAGCCAGGAGTTCAGGGCAATTTATCTCCCAGCCCACAGGGAGTTGCAACCAAGTCCAGACGGGAAAGTACAGGGCCCCAAGGAGCTTGGGGCTCACCAAGCGTGAAGGACAAAAAAAACATAAAGCAATTTTTACCTTGAAAAAAATTTTACCATAGAAATTGCCCTATGAAAAGTAGTCTTGCTTATGGGGCAGAATAAGCCAACTTATTTAAACGCACCTTAAACCTTAACACTTCAAATACAGGTAAAAGGCAGGCCACAAAGTGCTATGCCTTTTAAAGTATCTTACTTGCCACTACTTGTGCTCCCCAAATAAATTCCTACCCTGGGTTTGCAGCAGGCAAAACCCCAGAGGACATTACAGAATCACAGAATGGCAGGGGTTGGAAGGGACCTCAGAGATCATCCAGTCCAATCCCTCTGCCAAAGCAGGTTCCCTACAGCAGGTTGCACAGGAAGGTGACCAGGTGGGTTTTGAACATCTCCAGAGATGGAGACCCCACACCCTCTCTGGGCAGCCTGTCCCAGGGCTCCAGCACCCTCACAGTAAAGAAGTTTTTCCTTAAGTTTGTCTGGAACTTCTGGTGTTCCAGTTTGTGCCCATTGCCCCTTGTCCTGTCACTGGGCACCACCGAATAGAGCCCGGCCCCATCCATCTGGTCCCTGCACTTCAGGTATTTATAGACATTGATCAGATCCCCTCTCAGTCTGCTCTTCTCTGGGCTGAAGAGTCCCAGCTCTCTCAGCCTCTACTCATAGAGGAGATGTGCCAGGCTCCTCATAATCTTTGCGGCCCCTTCGCTGGACATTCACTGACCTTCGGGGGGAGTGGAGAGAAAAAAGAGCAACTAAAGAAGGAAATAATTTATTTTTTCCTGCCTTGAATGCATCACACTCACCCGCAGATCGGACGCTGCCTGTCCTGCCTCATCTGAGCAGTTCTGCAGCTTGTACATCCAGTAGTGCTTTGCTGTGATGAAAAAATTCCAGGGCAGCAAGGACCCGATGCCCAGGAGGAAAAAAATAATGTAGGCCCCATGCAAGCGGTCGCTCGGCTTTTGCTGGCTGTATGTCTTCAGCGAGGGCTCCTCGATCAGGGGCTCATCATCTGGGGGAAAGCTTCTGGCTGCCGGGTGCATGGCTCTGGCACGCTGCAAAAAACAACACCAAAAATGAGATTATTACATGAGTGTTGTAAACTGTTGCTCAGAAACTGCTGTGTGTGGCTTGATCCCCCTTTGACCCAGCAAACGCGGCATGAGTGAGTTGAACCGGCGCAGCATGGGGAGGCTAGCTCCCTGAAAAGTGTGTGAGATGGGAACCAGGACATGGTGGAGACGGGCTGTGTGTGGCTGCAGCACCCATGTTTCCATCCAGAATTAATAATTAACCCATCCCCTTGGCCTTGCAAAAGCAGGAAACCTCAACATGTTTAAAAAAAAAAATTAAAAAATTAAAAATTAACAGCTTGTAAACTAACAACGCCATCAGGCATTGCAGTATGACCTGTAAACCAGTAAGCTTTCTAAAATGGCTTGTAAACTAACACAAGGCCAGCAGGCTTTGCAGACCGGCTTGTAAACTAAGAGAACGTCATCAAAGCCTGGCAAAAATGACTCACAAGGCGGGATAACGTCACCGGGCTGCGGGTAACGCCTGTAAACTAAGGCAAGGCCAGCGGGCTTTGCGAAACGCCTCCTGAACACGAACAACTCCTGGATACAGCACTCGGGCTCTGCTGGAAACTCTCGCCCAGCAGCCCCGGGGGAAGGGCTGAGCGAGGGGCAGAGGGAAAGGAAATGCCGGAACTGGGGGATTTTACCAAAAACGTTGGATTTCAGGAGAGGGCAGCGCGGCAGCCCTCCCCGCATCCCCCCATACATCCATCCCTACATCACCCCC